TGGATCGTGTGGAAATCTATGTCAAATAAAATCAATGTAAATAGTGTTCCTCTTTTTGTTATTGTCTTTATCCTATTTTTAAAAGTTAAAAGTCAGTTAAGGCCCCACCTCGTCTTGTTACACTCTACAAAAGAAACAACACCTGCTATTTATAGCTGAACTGCCTAAAACGGTAACAGTGATCCACCACACTGAACTGTTAATTATAAACATTTTATATAAACATATTATTCAAATCGAATTATTGGTAGGGACAATTAGGTCAGTCCAGAATGTTGGTAGGGACATGTCCCTATGGTCCCTATGCAAACCTACGCCCATGGTCTACTGACTTGTTCTGAAGTCATGAGAAACAAATTAGACAAAAAATAAAAAATAGACAAGAAGCAACTTCTGTCAAAGGAGATGAATCCTTCTGCTCATCTGGAGAAGAACAAGGACGGGCATTCCATGTCTGGAGTCAACAGTAAAGAATCCTGTCCAGTCCCTGATTGGGCGCCATCCTATGACACAACTCTGCTGTGGAAAAAAAAAAAAAGTGGGACCAAACTTGTCTTAACAAAACCAGGGACACTTGGGGATGAGGTTTGGTCTTTGCTGCATGTTGTCAAAGAAATAAAATGCTGATAAAACCAGAACTTTTAAATGACGGGCCTGTGGTACATTTGGATCTTATTGCATTTCTTTTTAAACGAGTAAATCAGCCACTCTATAGTTGCTAGTCATATTACTGTCAGCAATATTTCAGTTGTTTTTTTGTGGTTTTCTGGAGCATTTTTTCCGTCAAATCATTATCTTAAGACATGTGTGTAACTGATATGATCTTTATTTTGCACCAATAAAAGCTTCAAAATCCTCTTTCCAGAAAACTTTTCCTGTGATTTGTTGTAGCTGTGATGAACTGCATGAATAACAGCAAGAAATATGCAAACAGACAAAGGTGGCATGTCATTCGGTTCATGTTTTTCAAAATAAGAGCGACGCCCTGTGGGGTTTGCTCTGGTCAAAGCTCAAATCAGGACAGCCAGCTGCAGGAGGTCAGGCGTTTATCTGAGATTTTTCTGCTCTTGTTTCATACAGCGTTTTCCTCTGATCACAGAAGCTATTAAAGATATTTTCCGACATCTCAACAAGTCATGGGAACTCAAACAAATGCTAATCTAAACTTGCAGGATTTATTTCTAAAATTCCCAAAGCACAGTGTTAATTTCACAGATATTAAAAACAAAACAAGCAATTAAATTTTCCTCTTAAACTGCAAGTGCAAACTGAAATGTTGTGATCTGCTCACATTAAGGTGCAACACTCCAAGAGATGATTGTATAACAAGAAAAATATTCAGAGAAAACAATTTTAGACCAACTTTTCAGTAGAAAACAAGCAAAATTTCACAAGATGCAGCTATTGTGCAAAACAGTTGCAAGATAAGTTTCATAAGATTGAAACTCTGATGAAACATATTCATTTGAATTGGGTCAGTAGATATTTTTCAGAGACAATAAAAAAAATGTGGCCATTTCAAATAATAGGTCAAACAAATCTATTGAATTCCTGTTTGGACTCAAAATTAAACATGGCTGCCTGATTCTATGCTTTATAAATGTGGCCATAAACACAACTGTACTAGGGTGACTAGATTTTGGTTTCTATTAATGAGGACACTTTTTTTTTTTTTTTGGGGGGGGCTGGGATTGGGGGACTGGACCGGGCATTCAAACCGAGCCGTTAGCTCCGAGGCTGGTCCAGCAACCGAACCCGACCCTGTATGCTTCGCCCCGCCTTCCTTACCGTGCTTCGGGCTAAGCAGGGCCGCCGGTGTCCAGGCTACCGTCACCGGGTCGGATCGCTCCGTCCCCAGCCCCTACTAGCCCCGGAGCTAACGGCTCGGACATGTCCAGGAAAAAGACGACACCCTAAACTGTACCAACTGTAGAAGTGTAAATGTTTCTGTCGGGTTTGCATCTAAAGAAACGCTGGGATATTAGCGAAATGATACCAATGATACATTGGCTTATTAGTGACTTATTTTTTTTAACTATTAACTGGATCCAGTGTCGCACTCAATCAGAAGTCAGAAGTAGGAATTAATAAACAAGCTTGATCACCTTGAAGCAACACTGTGTAACTTTTGTCCCAAGTATTAGCTTAATTTGAGCTATTTCAATTCACTTTTGAGGTCAATATTTAGCTAACTAAGCTCAAAATTGCTTAATATATGGACATACGTATGTGTAGTTATCTCATTTATGATTTAATCTAGAGGCCAGTTGCCAGTTGCCTTTATATGCGCTAAACCCGAGCAATACAGGTTCAGCACCCCTAGTTGCCGAAATTTGCAAAGTGCTGCCTTAGAGCAGGAATTCTCAGTCTAAAGTACAAACTGCTTAAAACTTTTCTAGCAAATATCTGTGAGTCATGCTGCTATCTGTAGCTAGCATCAGGTTACTGGATGACAACAGCTGAGGATTCCTGCAGCAAAGTTGGCTTCCCAGACCTATTGTCTTATATTAGTTGCAGAAAGAAGAAAGCGATAACTATGCTGCTTAACAGACTGGACCCAAGTGATCCAAGTCACTGGAAGGGTTTATCACAGTGACTAAGGCTGGTACATTCAAAATATGTCAGTGAGGGTTTATATTCTTTATCAACTTCTGTTTAATGAACCTCAATGTTTGTTACAAGTTCCAGCTTGACTCTTGGACTGTGTCCAAATGTCCGCCCTAAACCCTAAATCCTTCAATTACTATATAGAGCAGAGACTGTATAGTGGACTTTATAGAGAACTCAGTTAACTGACCGTTCGGACAGACGATCACAACTTTTACCTCCGCCATCTTTGTTATTTGTCACCGCTGTCGGGTCGTGACAGCGAGCCTCTGTAACAACAAATCATAATGCTTTGCTAGGAGAGCTCTCACAAAGCATTCTGGGATATATCTACTTGTCTAGTGACAATGGATGATCATTACTTTTTAAAGTGCATTCAAAGGAAACTTAGAGCCGACTACTTTTTCATCCACTAGACGTTCAGACATTAATCTAAAACAACCACTATATAGTGACCTATTTAGCGGTTAAGGCGGATATTTGGAAACATACTGCTTAAGGTGGTTAAAGAACTTTGCTTGTGGGAATATTTTGTCTCCTTTAAGCTTTTTTACTATTATTTACTGAAGCTTCTGTGTTACATTGGGGTAAATGGTTTCTGGCATAGTCTTAAAGATGACCCGCAATCAGTCAGTTGCATTTTATCTGAATCAAGCTTTTTAACCTACTGCGATTGATCTCCTTAAATTGTACTTCTTTTGAGGAGTTTTATGATTTTCCCAGTGAATTAGTCTCCTTCAACCTCCCACAGGCTATTTGGTTGCTTCATGAGCAGCCACAGTTGTCAACCACCATAGACTTGATCATCCCATAGATGATCTGCTCCTTGCTGTTGAAGTAAAGCATGTTTATGGGCGACATCTTGGTAGGGGTGCAGCAGGGTCCCACGGTGCCCCGCGGGTTGGCCTTGTTCACCAGGTGTGCATGCGGATACTGTTGCAGGTGAAGGAACTCGCACTCCCCTGAGCAGTAATTGGCTCTGTACCGTTTGGGGGCAATAATCCAGTCCCAGCCAAACTCCTCGAAGTCGACAGTGAGTGGATAGCGGCAGCAGCGGGTCTCTGAAGACTCCTCGTCACAGTTCAGGCCAGAGTCTCGGCGCGATCTCTTAGAACTGTCCAAGATCTTAACTTCAATGAACGGTTGCTGGAATGACAAAGAATGATTTAGGGTAAAATGCAAGAAACTACTTGCCACAGAAATGAGTTTGGACATTAAAGGAATAGTACACCCAAA